TTGCGTTGTGGCCGAAACGTCGTGAGAATTGTGTTTTATTATGTTTTATTATTTTATTATTTCCCTTCTACGGGACTTTACCGAAATAACCAATATGTTAACTACCTCGTCTGGTACACAGGAGGTCTTGTGGGTTCGATCCCGACCCTGACGCCTGCTGCTGTCTATTTCGAGTTTTTGTGTCTCTCTATCATCATCATCACAGTGGCTATGAGATGTTAACTACCTCGCCTGGTTTACAGGAGGTCGTGAGTTCGACCCCGACCTTGACGGCTGCTGCTGTATATTTGGAGTTTGCGTGTCTCTCTCTCATCATCATCACGGTGGCTAGGAGATGTTAACTACCTCGCCTGGTGTACAGGAAGTCGTGGGTTCGATCCCAACCCTGACGTCTGCTGCTCTGTATTTGGAGTTTGTGTGTCTCTCATCATCATCACAGTGGCTAGGAGATGTTAACTACCTCGCCTGGTATACAGGAAGTCGTGATTTCGATCCCAACCCTGACGCCTGCTGCTGTAGATTTGAAGTTTGCGTGTCTCTCTCCCATCATCATCATCACGGTGGCTAGGAGATGTTAACTACTCGCCTGGTATACAGGAAGTCGTGGGTTCGATCCCGACCCTGACACCTGCTGCTGCTGTATATTTGGAGTTTGCGTGTCTCTCTCTCATCACCATCATCACGGTGGCTAGGAGATGTGAACTACCTCGCCTGGTGTACAGGAGGTCGTGGGTTCGATCCCAACCCTGACGCCTGCTGCTGCTGTATATTTGGAGTTTGCGTGTCTCTCCCATCATCATCATCACGGTGGTTATGAGATGTTAACTACCTCGCCTGGTACACAGGAAGTCGTGGGTTCCATCCCGACCCTGACGTCTGCTGCTGTATATTTGGAGTTTGTGTGTCTCCCTCATCATCACAGTGGCTAGGAGATGTTAACTACCTCGCCTGGTATACAGGAAGTCATGAGTTCGATCCCAACCCTGACACCTGCTGCTGTTTATTTGGAGTTTGTGTGTCTCTCCCATCATCATCATCACGGTGGCTAGGAGATGTTAACTACCTCGCCTGGTCTACAGGAGGTCGTGAGTTCGATCCCAACCCTGACGCCTGCTGCTGTATATTTGGAGTTTGTGTGTCTCTCCCATCATCATCATCACGGTGGCTAGGAGATGTTAACTACCTCGCCTGGTCTACAGGAGGTCGTGAGTTCGATCCCAACCCTGACGTCTGCTGCTGTATATTTGGAGTTTGTGTGTCTCCCTCATCATCACAGTGGCTAGGAGATGTTAACTACCTCGCCTGGTATACAGGAAGTCATGAGTTCGATCCCAACCCTGACACCTGCTGCTGTATATTTGGAGTTTGTGTGTCTCTCCCATCATCATCATCACGGTGGCTATGAGATGTTAACTACCTCGCCTGGTCTACAGGAGGTCGTGAGTTCGATCCCGTCCCTGACGCCTGCTGCTGTATATTTGAAGTTTGCGTGTCTCTCCCAGTGGTCGTGTGGATTTGTCTCCGGTTTTTCCCTAATTTAGAATCAACGTCACGCGTTTAGTGCATTTAGCTGGTATACATTCCACGTGATGATGATGATGAGCCACTTCGCTGAGCCGTCATTTATGATTGCCAGGTCACTTCTGAAAAAGAGCCATTTAGTTCGGTGGGCCTTACCTGGTCAAATAAAGAAAAATAGTTTATAGATTTTAGTTTAAATTGGTACCACCACGGTTACAGTCGATGGCGTGCGGTTCCGTAAACTGTAGGCTACTTAAATAATGAGATTTTAATTTTACCAGATAAAGCTCATTGAGCTTCGTAGCTTTTTCTTCTTGGTTCTTTCGGTAAAGTCACGTAGAATGGAAATAATTAAATCATAAAAATAAAACAATAATTCTCACGACGTTTCGGCCACAACGCAAGCAGCCGTCCTCGGGTGAAGAACAGGTCTGTCGAGAAGACAACGTCTGAATGTCTGAATTTAACTTTGTAGCTTTCTTTTTCAGAAGCAACCTGGCCACAAATGATAGCTCGGTGGATTATAGCCGCGTGGAAAAATTATAGCGGCCACCTTCGCGGACTTGACCTCACCGCCACGGCGGCTGGCAAGGTAATTATCCGACTAATGCCAATCTCCCCCCCGTTGTGATTGTCCACAATAACACCACGGCGTTCACTGTACGCTCCCTTGCACAGGCGAAGATTCATCCCCCAGTTGAATCGCAGGCAGTGGCCCAAGTCTGGATTCAAACCCAGGATCGCAGCGGCCCTCTGCGCTCTGACCGCTGAGCAGTGCTTTGAATTCTAGATTTGAAGCTTTCGTGACTGCAAGGATTCATACTCTTTGGTTGTTTTCGGTAAAGTCACGTAGGTAAAACAATCAATGAAATAATTACAACTAAATTAAATCACGATGTTTCGGAGGCAACACAAGCTTCCTTCATCAGGTGTAAAAAAGGCACAGCAAAATAACTAGCGAGTTATTTGTGATGAGACATTGTTATATAGGGGACCCTATTTTGCTGTGCCTTTTTAAATCCTTTATATTAAGTTCACTTGCTTGCGTGCTTGCTTGCTTGCTTACGACCGTGCAAATCATTCGGTCGTTTTTAAACCCACTTCCTGTGATCCAATCGAGCTGACATTTTGCACACAGACTCGTTGTGCGTGACAATTAATTTTCGTGAAAAAAATTAAAAATTTGACACTTTAGGGGATTTTTTTTATATTTATTTACTAATTGCTTAATGCTGCCAGGCTATCATCTGACCCATAGGTGGCAGCCATCTCAAGCCAGAGGACGAGAGGACTCTAGCCGCCCGTTTTAAATACCACCGATGCCACGCATATAAAGGATTTATAGTGAAAAACTTTGTTTTTACGGGTTAATTTTTTTTTACACCTGATGAAGGAAGCTTGTGTTGCCTCCGAAACGTCGTGATTTAATTTAGGTGTTTTCATTGATTCTATTGATTGTTTTACCTACGTGACTTTACCGAAAAAACCAAAGAGTACAATAGTGCTTTTACTATCGAGAGTGCAACTCCACCGCTCGCGGGTCCTCCGGGGGTCGAGGCGCTGGGTGACGAAGAGCACGGTTGGCTACGTACGGTGCGAAAGAAGTTCAACACACGCGCACGCACCGCCGCGGGGAGGGTCCCATGGGCCGGAGAGACCCGGACACCGGGGCGATGCAGAGGAGAGACATTGGACAGGGGGGGGCAACGAAGGGGATCGGTCCATTGAATTATTTGCACCGGGGCCCACGCCAATCAGGCTACTATGTACACTGCTGCCACCTCCACCTGGCGCGTGTGAGACCGCGGCTATGTTTAGACACGCGCTGAGCCCTCCCTGCGCCTGACTCCCGGGCGCCGTCGTGACAGACCGCAGCAGCCACGCCGTCAATCTCAGTTGGCTATGGACCCTCCTCTGCCCCCCCCCAGAGATGCGCACCGACAGCCGTGTTCATTGGCCCTCCGTAGAGGCGAATGTGGGAACAAGTGAGGATGTGGGGGGTTAGGGATGAGTGTTAGGCCGACCACAGCCCCTTATACTCCGGTACGTTAAACGAGGGGGCCCAAACTGAACATTTGTGTTCACTGCGAAGCGGAATTAACTACTGGACATCTGTGAAACTACTGGACATCTGTGAACTACTGGACATGTGTGAACTACTGGACATGTGTGAACTACTGCACAAGAGCTTGATAACTCATCGGATTCCGCGAGTATAAATATTCTGATTCTGAACCGTGTGCATCTCACCGTCTCCAGATATGTGTGTGTGTGTGCGTGTCTCATCCATTCATTCCAGCCAGGTCTATCCGGATTATTTACCTGGAAAATATATCCAGCACCTAGTAACGCAACTGAAAAGTGCATGATCCAGCATGGAGAGTGGAGAAGCACGCATCATCCAAACTGTTAAGAGACATGAGTGGGCTTCAGCAGGGCCGGACAGGCTCACTACTCTTGGGGACGAGGGTGAATAACGGATGCCGTGTCGAGCACGCCGTCGTGACGCAGGACCACGCCGTCGTGACGCGGGACCACGCCGTCGTGACGCGGGACCACGCCGTCGTGACGACGCGGGACCACGCCGTCGTGACGCGGGACCACGCCAATGTGACGTGGGACCACGCCGTCGTGACGACGCGGGACCACGCCGTCGTGACGACGCGGGACCACGCCGTCGTGACCACGCCGTCGTGACGACGCGGGACCACGCCGTCGTGACGACGCGTGACCACGCCGTCGTGACCACGCCGTCGTGACCACGCCGTCGTGACGACGCGGGACCACGCCGTCGTGACGACGCGGGACCACGCCGTCGTGACGACGCGGGACCACGCCGTCGTGACGACGCGGGACCACGCCGTCGTGACGACGCGGGACCACGCCGTCGTGACCACGCCGTCGTGACGACGCGGGACCACGCCGTCGTGACGACGCGGGACCACGCCGTCGTGACCACGCCGTCGTGACGACGCGGGACCACGCCGTCGTGACGACGCGGGACCACGACGTCGTGACCACGCCGTCGTGACGACGCGGGACCACGCCGTCGTGACGACGCGGGACCACGCCGTCGTGACGACGCGGGACCACGCCGTCGTGACGACGCGGGACCACGACGTCGTGACCACGCCGTCGTGACGACGCGGGACCACGCCGTCGTGACGACGCGGGACCACGCCGTCGTGACGATGCGGGACCACGACGTCGTGACCACGCCGTCGTGACGACGCGGGACCACGCCGTCGTGACGACGTCGTGACCACGCCGTCGTGACGACGCGGGACCACGCCGTCGTGACGATGTGGAACCACGCCGATGTGACGTGGGACCACGCCGTCGTGACGTCACCACGCCGTCGTGACGTCACCACGCCGTCGTGACGACGTGGAACCACGCCGATGTGACGTGGGACCACGCCGTCGTGACGCGGGACCACGCCTTTGTGACATCACACACGAAGGAGCAGTGCGGCCGCGACACGTGGGGACGTTTATTTGAAGTCGGGGCAGCACGGCAACAAACACACGCGGCGATCGCGCAATTTACAAAAGTATTTACAAGCGAGGGGTGGGTGGGGGTTGTGAGCACATGCGCCTCCTCTCAGTATGTACACCGTGTTCATCGCCACCACCCGCACGACGGGGGAGGCCACAGCGGGCACAGAGCAGACGGGGGCCTCTTAAGTGGCCCGGGAGCTGGAATTGCCTTCCACGCGTACTCCCTGCAGCAGAAGCGGCGGCGGCAGCAGCAGCAGCAGCAAGGCAGTAGTGTATTTACAGTCGCGACAGCCAGGCTGGGCAATGCCACACTACCACGGTCTACATTCTACGCCAGGGTCGGGGGGCAGGGAAACCTCTTGCTTACGGAGGACTTTTAAATGCCTTTTGCCAGAGAGCGACACGTTAACACACAAACACAGGCGCGTGCCGGAGCTCTCTGTGAGTGACAGCAGCTGCGAGGCGCGCCGTTACAATCAGACACAGCGTTGTTGTTGTGGCCAGGTCATCGGGAAAATGTTTTCGTCCCCCTCTAGCACCCGACTAGTGCGGCTAAGAATCGGAGTCTTTATTTCGGCTGCAGGAGGAATCTGATGAGATGCGAAGTTCGTTTTGACACATGTCCAACTAAGACGCTAATGTGTGTGTGTGTACAGTTTGTAGGCCATTTCGAAGTGGTCACTCACCCAGGGGCTTAATTTCAGCTGGCTCTGTCTGCGTCAGCGACCCGAAACAAATATTTCTCACGGCAGGCACACGGCGTCTCGCACACATGTAATTGCTTTGGACGTTGCTACGAGTCACATGCCACCCGACCTCCCAAGTCTACTGAGCAACCGGGAAAAATTACAGGGTGCTTCGAATCTTTTTTAACACTTATATGGGACTATCGTTTTTAATGGAAAAAGAACGGATAATACACTGTAACATTATGACAAATGTGATGTTAATAGCTTCAAAAAGTCTCCACTTGTTCGCCATCGTTGTCAACGCACGCCTGGAATCTTCTCCAAGTGGTCTCCAGAACCCGGAGGCACATTTCTCGTGGTATTGTTGCAAATTCTCTGAAGTGTTAACTTTTTTTTGAAGCACCCTGCATTGCACGTACGTACGTTACGTTACGTTGAACTTCTTTCGCACCGTACGTAGGCACTCATGCCAACCACCCCGTGGTTTCCCGCGCGCCGCACCCAACGAAGCCATGGGTCGTGCGTGGCCCACGGGGTCTCCCGCCCGCGCCGCCGCTCTCCGCGCAAACAAAGCGTGGCCGGCTAAACCCCGCCGGGTGTCTCCCAGGAACCTCGCGTTCCCAGAGCGGTGAAGCGGGTGGTGGGGGGCGAGGGTCGTTACCACGGCGATTGCTGCCTCGCGCGGCCGAGCGGGACCACCGCAAGCGGATGTACGGCCTTCCCCCCCCCACTCACGGCCTCCCCCCACGGACCCCCCTCCCCACCACCGCTTCTCTTTCGCTGCGCCGTGCCGAGACGCGGGCGTTGTCGGGGTTCTCGGGACCCACGGGAGGGTTCGTGTCGAGGGCGTTGTGGGCTCCGCGTGGGCAGTGCGCGAGTTCACGTCGGGCGATGCCTGCGCCACAAAGTCCCCTCCCCCGTTCACATCTGGCCGTACATCTTTTTCGAAAAATGAAAAAATGTTGTCAAAAATTAAAAGACAAACCCCTGCAATCGGGCAATTCTCACTGTTGCCGACTGAGCAAGAACTACCGAGCGAGAGCACAACCTCTTTCTGCCAATCGTAAGTCGGCAACCAATCGGCAGCTGGGGGCTTATACCCCAGAGCTGAATTTCAGCCGATAGCAACCTGCTGAGCACAGTAGTCGCCCGTCAGAGGTCGCAACCGGGTACCCGATACCCGTACCCTACCCGATACCCGGCTACCCGTACCCGGCCGGGTACGGGTACCCGATTGCGACCCTGATGCGGCCGGGTACGGGTAGGCCGTGAGTCACTGGTGAGTAACCGTTTGTCACTCATTTCCCAACGTCTTGTCTCTTCTCACAATTCAAGTTCCTAGAATCAACCCACCCGCGCCTGCAACATGGCTTCATCCCAGAGGTCGCAATCAGGTACCCGATACCCGTACCCTACCCGTACCCGGCCGGGTACGGGTACCCGTTTGCGACCCTGGTGTGGCCGGGTACGGTTAAGGAATCAAAACCCGTTTGCGACCTCTGTCACCCGTCCAAGCTCAGGCTCACGACTGCTTAGCTTCCGAGATATGATGAGATGAGGGAAGGAGGAGGGGGGGGGGGTGAAAGTTCACCAAATCTTTGCCGAACTTTGCACACACTCGCTACGATGGGAATCAGCAGTGAGCCTTACGAGGGGTGCAGTGACCCTTGGATGCCCTCTACTCCGTGGGTCATTCAAGCAAACACATGACAGATCTCTGGAAACACGTGGATGGATCTATGGAAAAATGTGGCAGATCTGCGGCCCTGGCAGGGCCACGCATGCACGTGGTCACACGGTGGTCAGGGATTCATTTCAGGTCGTGTCTGGCCAGTTTGGTGGCCCGGAAAATAGTTCCGCACCCGTCACACCGCACGTAGTACACTTCTCGCTCTGGCTGCGGGCCACCTTCTCCAGCCTTGGCGGCGACCCGAAAAATAACGAGTGGGAAAGTAGGCCCTGGGTAAGAGACGAGGATGCGTGCTCCCTCGCCGGAGCGACACGCGGCGGTGTCAGCTGTGAGTGTCTCCCGTGCAAGTGGTGCTGTGTGTATGAGAGGTGTGCTGTTAGTGCTGTGATCCTGTGCTGTTAGTGCTGTGTGTGAGAGGGAGTGTGCTGTTAGTGCTGTGTGTATGAGAGGTGTGCTGTTAGTGCTGTGATCCTGTGCTGTTAGTGCTGTGTGTGAGAGGGAGTGTGCTGTTAGTGCTGTGTGTATGAGAGGTGTGCTGTTAGTGCTGTGATCCTGTGCTGTTAGTGCTGTGTGTATGAGAGGTGTGATGTTAGTGCTGTGATCCTGTGCTGTTAGTGCTGTGTGTATGAGAGGTGTGCTGTTAGTGCTGTGATCCTGTGCTGTTAGTGCTGTGTGTATGAGAGGTGTGCTGTTAGTGCTGTGATCCTGTGCTGTTAGTGCTGTGTGTATGAGAGGTGTGCTGTTAGTGCTGTGATCCTGTGCTGTTAGTGCTGTGTGTGAGAGGGAGTGTGCTGCTAGTGCTGTGTGTATGAGAGGTGTGCTGTTAGTGCTGTGATCCTGTGCTGTTAGTGCTGTGTGTATGAGAGGTGTGCTGCTAGTGCTGTGATCGTGTGTTAGTGCTGTGCGTGAGAGGGAGTGTGCTGCTAGTGCTGCGATCGTGTACTGTTTGAGACGCGGTGCCAGTGCCGTGCTGTTTGTGCTGTTGGTGTCGAGCCGCAGCCGTAGCAAGATGAGCACAGTTGGCTACGTACGGCGCGAAAGACGTTCAACGCACGTAAATGTTTACGAGCGGTGGTTTGTGATTCATGGTTATTGGTGGTGCTCAGTGGTTCGCGGTGATTAGGAATGGCGAGTAATTAGTAATGTTTAGTTAGTGATGGGAACTGGAGTGTGTGTGTGTGTGGTGAGTTCTAATCAGCGGCGCTTCGTGATGGAATTTCAGTGACACTTACTGGCCAGTGGGACGATTATCTAAAGCAGTCCTAGTTCAACACACATACACACGTGTACTGGTGATCGTGCGATGCATGCGTTGTGCCACATGGTTTGTGATGTGAATGCTGCAGGTGCCGTGCCGCGTGTTGTTCCACGTGGGTTCTGCTGTGCCGTGCGTGTTGTGCGGCGTGTTGTTCCATGCGTTGCACCCTGTGTGTTGTGCCATCTGCGTTGTGCCATCTGCGTTGTGCCATCTGCATTGCGCCGCGTGCGTTGTGCCATCTGCGTTGTGTCGCGTGGGTTCTCCTGCGCCGCGTGCGTCGTGCCGTGTGCGTCGTGCCACGTGGTCTCGTGACGCCGCGTGCGTTGTGCCGCGTGCGTTGTGCCGCGTGCGTTGTGCCCACGTGGTCTCGTGACGCCGCGTGCGTTGTGCCGTGTGCGTCGTGCCACGTGGTCTCGTGACGCCGCGTGCGTTGTGCCGCGTGCGTTGTGCCGCGTGCGTTGTGCCCACGTGGTCTCGTGACGCCGCGTGCGTTGTGCCGTGTGCGTCGTGCCACGTGGTCTCGTGACGCCGCGCCACGTGGTCCACGCCGCACTGCTCAGGGTGCCGTGGCGGGCGGCGCGGCCTCGGGTCGGCGGGTCGGTTCGATCTTGGGGGCGGTGGCGGCGGCGGCGGCGGCCTCGGCGTCGCCCTCGCACACGTGCACCACCACGCTGGGCGTGCGCTCCGTGCCGGCGTGCAGCTCGTACTTGTCTCCTGCACGGGGGAGGGCGGCGCGGCGGGGTGGGGGTACAGACGGATGGGGGGACGGCGTAAACAGGTGCAGTCTCCCACTCTTGTCGCACCTCCGATGAGCATGGTTGGCTGCGGACGGTGCGAAAGAAGGTCAACATACGTAGAGCCACCAGCGTCCGCTCGACTCGCCTCTCTATCCACGTGCTAGGAATAATAAGGGCCACCGCCTGAAATGTCACATGCGGTGTAGTTTTCCTATTCAGCCCGCAGCGTTATTGTCTTTGAATGTGTGGAGTTGATATTATTATTATTACGGGGATCCATGTAAATGTATGGGTGTACATGTGACTATGGGTGTCTGTGTCGGTCTATGGATGTGTCTCAGTGAGTCGATGGATCTCTGCATGGCGCTGAGATTCCTGTCGGAGCCCTGCTTGTTGCTCAGCTCTGCCCAGCGAGACGAGCAATCAGCGAGATGAGCAATTATCGGTTGTTTCACGAGCAACCACCATGGCCACAGAGGCCTCACACGGGTGAAAGCACACGGAGCCTGACTCGAGCATCACACTCACCCTCACTCACCCTCACTCACCCTCACTCTCTCACACACACACTCACACACTCTCACACACACACTCACACACTCACTCACACTCACACACTCACTCACACTCCCCTCACACACACCCTCACTCACACACTCACTTTCACACACACACACTCACTCTCACACACTCACACACACTCACTCACACACACTCACACACTCACTCTCACACACACACACTCACTCTCACACACTCACACACACACACTCATTCACACTCACACACACACTCACACACACACTCACTTTCACACACACCCACACACACTCTCACACACTCACACACACTCACTCACACACACACACTCACTCTCACACACACACACACTCACTCTCACACACACACACTCACTCACACTCACTCACACTCTCACACACACACACACACTCACTCTCACTTGAACCTCAATGTCAGTCTGTGAGTCTCTATGTGAGTCCTTGAACCTCAAAATGAGTCTGTGGGTCTCTATGTGAGTCATTGAACCTCAATGTGAGTCTGTGGGTCTCTATATGAGTCCTTGAACCTCAATGTGAGTCTGTGGTTTTCTATGCGAGTCCATAAACCTCAATGTGAGTCTGTGGGTCTCTATGTGAGTCCTTGATCCTCAATGTGAGTCTGTGAGTCTCTATGTGAGTCATTGAACCTCAATGTGAGTCTGTGGGTCTCTATATGAGTCCTTGAACCTCAATGTGAGTCTGTGGGTCTCTATGTGAGTCCATAAACCTCAATGTGAGTCTGTGGGTCTCTATGCGAGTCCGTGATCCTCAATGTGAGTCTGTGAGTCTCTATGTGAGTCCTTGAACCTCAAAATGAGTCTGTGGGTCTCTATGTGAGTCATTGAACCTCAATGTGAGTCTGTGGGTCTCTATATGAGTCCATAAACTTCAATGTGAGTCTGTGGTTCTCTATGCGAGTCCATAAACCTCAATGTGAGTCTGTGGTTCTCTATGCGAGTCCATAAACCTCAATGTGAGTCTGTGGTTCTCTATGCGAGTCCATAAACCTCAATGTGAGTCTGTGGGTCTCTATGCAAGTCCGTATCTGACACCGTTGACCGACAAGCTACCGATCTCTACGCCGCCCAATGGTCGTGTCTATGTTTCTCTACGCGAGTCTGTGCCTCACGCCACCGGTCGCACATCCCGCGATAGGAAATTAGCAGAGAGGAGGAGGAAGACTGACCGGGTCCCAGCTGCGCGATGGCGCACAGGAGGTCGTAGTTCACGAGCGGCGCGGGGTCGGGCCTGGGCTGCCACCCCTCGGGGGGGGACCCGGGGGGGGAGATGAGCCACACGCGGCCCGGCTGGGGTGGGGCCAGCGACGCCCCGGGACTCTGGGGGTCCCCCATCACGGCCTGCGCGACGGGGAGGGAGGGAGATAGGGGAGAGGGGGTCAATTGGGGTTAAGGGACAGGAGACACCAGGGGGGGGGGCAAGGGTTGAGGAGAGGGGGACACGGGGTAAGAGGAGCAGAGCAGAGGTCGCAAACGGGTTTTGATTCCTTACCCGTACCCGGCCGCACCAGGGTCGCAAACGGATACCCGTACCCGATACCCGGCCGGGTACGGGTAGCCGGGTATCGGGTAGGGTACGGGTATCGGGTACCCGGTTGCGACCTCTGGAGCAGAGTCAGGAGACGCCAAGGTGAGGATATGGACACGGGGACAGGGGGGTAGGAGGAGATGGAGACAGAGGGAGAGAGAGCTGGGGACAGGGACACTGGGCTTGTCTGCAAGGATGATTCGTGTGGCCAGGTCTGCACCAGCCAGGACGGAGCCTGGTCTCAGCAGGGCGCAGCCTGGTGTCAGCAGGGGGCCTTGTGTCAGCAGGGAGCCTGGTGTCAGCAGGGAGCCTGGTGTCAGCAGGGAGCCTGGTGTCAGCAGGGAGCCTGGTGTCAGCAGGGAGCCTGGTGTCAGCAGGGAGCCTGGTCTCAGCAGGGTGGAGCCTGGTGTCAGCAGGGGGAGCCTGGTGTCAGCAGGGAGCCTGGTCTCAGCAGAGAGCCTGGTCTCAGCAGGGAGCCTGGTCTCAGCAGGGAGCCTGGTCTCAGCAGGGAGCCTGGTCTCAGCAGGGAGCCTGGTGTCAGCAGGGAGCCTGGTGTCAGCAGGAAGCCTGGTCTCAGCAGAGGGAGCCTGGACAGTGCTCGTGTGGGTGACGAGCCGACGACCATTGATAGAAAGCAACAAAAACAACAACAGCAGGAGCTGTAGACCACCGCGGGGGCTGCCACTAAGCCGGAGTCGGGATGATCGGGGTCAGGGGTCAAAATACACCGGGGAGTGGGGAGGGGGTGGAGTGGTGATGTGGATTGGCATGGGGGGGGGGTACTGTAAGGGGGTCCACCCCAAAGCGCCTGGTTTTGTGGGGGGGGGGGTGTAAGTTTGTGGGTCACGTGAGGGTGGGGGGCTGTGTGTGATGAGTGTGATACGTGTGTGTGTGGGGTGTTGCTGTGTGGTTTTGTGTTGCAGGGAACGGTGGTGATGGTGGTGCGGTATTGGTGGTGGTGCGGTGATGAGGGGGTATTGGTGGTGGTGCGGTGTTGGTGGTGATGGGGGTGGGGAGCGGTGTTGGTGGTGGTGTTGGTGGTGGTGGGTTATGGGGGGGGGGGGGTTTGATGGTGTTGGTAGTGGTGCAGTGTTGGTGGTGGTGATGGGTGGTGGTGCGGTGTTGGTGGTGGTGCTGGTGGTGGTGGGTGATGGTGGGGACGGTGTTGGTGGTAGTGCGGTGTTGGTGGCGGTGGGTGATGGGGGGGGCGGTGGTGGGTGTTGGTGGTGATGGTGGGTGTTGGTGGCGGTGGGTGATGGGGGGGCGGTGGTGGGTGTTGGTGGTGCTGGGTGGTGTTGGCGGTGGTGGGTGTTGGTGGTGATGGTGGGTGTTGGTGGTGCTGGGGGGGTGTTGGCGGTGGTGGGTGTTGGTGGTGATGGTAGGTGTTGGTGGCGGTGGGTGATGGGGTGGCGGTGGTGGGTGTTGGTGGTGATGGTGGGTGTTGGTGGTGCTGGGTGGTGTTGGCGGTGGTGGGTGTTGGTGGTGATGGTAGGTGTTGGTGGCGGTGGGTGATGGGGTGGCGGTGGTGGGTGTTGGTGGTGATGGGGGGGTGTTGGCGGTGGTGGGTGTTGGTGGTGATGGTGGGTGTTGGTGGCGGTGGGTGATGGGGGGCCGGTGGTGGGTGTTGGTGGTAGTGCGGTGCTGGTGGTGGTGGGTGATGGGGGGCCGGTGGTGGGTGTTGGTGGTGATGGTGGGTGTTGGTGGCGGTGGGTGATGGGTGGTGTTGGCGGTGGTGGGTGTTGGTGGTGCTGGGTGATGGTGATGGGAGCGGTGTCCCACGTACGTGTGCCGCGTGCACGTGCAGCGTGCCCCCCCCTGGGAGCCGCGTCCCGTGCAGCGCCGAGCGCGCTCGCGCCGCCGCCTCGGGGCTCGCAAACTGCACCGCGACGCGGGGGGGGGGCGCCCCCCCCCGCTCCTCCTCCTCCGCCCCCCTCTCCTCCTCCGCCCCCCTCTCCTCCTGCTCCTCCTGCACGCGGGGCCACGCCACGCGGCCTCCCTGCGCTCCGAACAGCGCGACGAGCTCAGCCTGCACAAAGACAAATGTGCCCCTTGTAGCCTTGGGCAGACTTTAGGGCCAAGTGCTGTAAGCGAGTGCCTATTAAGTGTGTGGGGCGGCGTTTGAGGGTGTGGTGGGTGGAGCACCCAAAGACCCCCCGTATATCTTCCTGGTTCTTTCGGTAAAGTCACGTAGAATGGAAATAATAAAATAATAAAAATAAAACATAATAAAATAATTCTCACGACGTTTCGGCCACAACGCAAGCAGCCGTCCTCAGGTGAAGAACAGGTCTGTCGAGAAGACAGAGTCTGAAGCTTTAAATCGAAATTTAAACCACCCGTATAACCTGAACAGACTGCTGTTTGTGAGCACCTATTAAGGTCGGCACGGTACACGAGGGGGTGGGTGACCAGCACCACGCCCGGCCGCCTTTGTATCACCAGCGACGATGTTTACACACCGCACCAGGTTCTCATTTGAGGCCGAGTCGACCTAGGGGAGGCCTAGGACCGCTTTAGATAATCGTCCCACTGGCCAGTAAGTGCCACTGAAACTCCATCATCACGAAGCGCCACTGATTATAACTCACCGCACACACACACACTCATGTTCCCATCACTAACTAAACATTGCTAATTACTCGCCATTCCTAATCACCGCGAACCACTGGGGACCGCCCATAACCATGAATCACAAACCACCGTTCAATATACATTTACGTACGTGTGTTGAACTTCTTTCGCACCGTACGTAGTCAACCGTGTTCATCGGAGGTGCGAGACAAGGACGACAAACTCAAGACAAAAAGCAGCTCTAAAGAAGTTCGTTTTCAATCGAGATCCTCTCAATCACATCGGCGGCACATGGTCGGTTTGGAGCGGTGGCGCAGTCATTAGCGCACTCCTCTGCAACACCGACGACCCGAGTTCGATTCCCAGCCATGGCCCCCTATGAGTGGCGAGCGGTGGTGGTGGTGGTGGCAGTGGTGGTGGTGGTGGTGGCGGTGGTGGCGGTGGCGGCGGTGGTGGTGGTGGTGGTGGCGGTGGTGATGGTGGTGGCGGTGGTGGCGGTGGTGGTGGCAGTGATGGCGGCGGTGGTGGCGGTGGCGGCGGTGGCGGTGGCGGTGGCGGTGGCGGCGGTGGCGGTGGTGGCGGCGGTGGCGGCGGCGGTGGCGGCGGCGGTGGCGGTGGTGGTGGCGGTAGCGGCGGTGGTGGCAGTGGTGGTAGCGGTGGTGGCGGTGGTGGCTACACTTCTGCTTCTGCACGTGGCTGCTGGCTGTGATCTCGCACTCTGGAGGCAGCAGCAACAGCGAGAGTTGGTGGATCACCGCCACGCAAATATCGCCAATCTGCCTTCCCTGGCTCGGGCAGGAGAAAGCAGTCGAGCAAGTGGACTGATCGCCATCGGTTTCCGTCTGTACGGGGATAGAGCGTTGCCCCCTCTCGCAAGGCGTGGGCTTTCTCCGAATGCTCTTCTTTCCTGCCACGCGCACGAACCGCTCACACATTGGCCAGAAACGTCATAGAATGAATATCTAACGGTGATAAATAATTCACATGAAGTGTATTGTATCTGAAATATGAACTGATCCTGACTTGCCACCAACCTCCCGACGGCTCCACCTCCCCGTGCTGACCAGGGTCTGAAGTGAAACCACTCCCGCTGGAGACAGACCGGCGTGGAGAGGCTCTCATCCAGCAGTGGATTGACAAGGCAGCTGTAGATTTCACCCATGTGGCGGTTGCTCTTGCTCCGGTGTCTCTTTACATCACAGCGGTTCGTCACCGTTGCCTCTGTCCTCGTTTTGGTGAGCCAGGCCACTGTTGGCAAATGAGACTCGAACCAAGCACCCATTTAAGGCTGAGTCGACCTAGGCGATGCTCAACTTCAAGTTCTCATTTTTATTTCGTCGATATCAGCCACGCCCCAGAATCTAACTCATCCTTCGACGCGCAGTGCGCTAACGACTGCGCCGCCAGACACGCACACAAAGACAAGAGGCAAAACTTGCCCCGTGTTGGGGCATAGTGCTGTTAGCGAGCACCTATTAAGGCCAGCACGGCATATGAGGGTGCAGTCCTCTGTGAGAGCAGGAGAAGCAGCTCCTGTGCTATCTTGAAGAGGCAGCAGCGCAAATCTACCAAGGGAAGACTTGTGGCTGCAACTCAGAGCTCTACATCCTCCCTGGCCTGTCCAGGGTGCCACAGAGGATTCCGGGCTCGGAGTGGCCTGTTCAGCCATCTGCGCACTCATCAAAACCCCACAAAATGACAAACGTGCCACGGTCATCATCAACTATCATGGACGAACAAGAGAGAGAGAGGGGGAGGGTGGCCAACACCACGCCCGGCTGCCTTTGCCTCCCCAGTTGCTGACGTTTACCCACCGTTCACCAGGCACTCATTGCAAGGCCGAGCCGACCTAGGGAAGACTCAGGACCGGTGCAGATATTCGTCACCGATATCGGCAGCGAGCGGGAATCGAACTCGGGTCGCGCGGCGCGCCGGTTAGCGCAGTGCGCTAGAGACGCGCGCGCGCACGTCACTCCGCCGTGAGCGGACCAGCCAAGGTCACTCGCAAGAGCCCTTCGCTAATTGACGTGCGCTCCGGGACCGTTTCCCGTTTGCGGCTCCGACTGCTGCTGAGCGAGCGGTCGATCGTCCCTGCGAGGGGCAGAGCAAGATCGCAACAATGACGGCGATGACGGCGATGACGACGATGACGACGATTCCAAAGCATCCAGCAAAGCCACGCAGAGTCCTCACAGACTCCTCTTTGAGGAGGGTCCTGCCACGTTGGGGCCTTTTGGCCGATCACGTTAGAGAGGAAACTGGAAAACCTGCTTTAAAAAACAACCCGTGACCCTTAAAATTATCCATAACGCTAGCCCTAATCCTAACTCCAACCCTATATCCCAACTCGAACCCTAATTCTAACCCTAACTCTGGCCTTAACCATAACTCTACCCTCTACCCAGGGATACATTTCAGTAGAGTCTGTCTGGGTCAGTGCGCCAAAAAATATCTCCAGCACCCAGCACACCACATCCAGTATACGTCTCGCTGTGGGGCTGCGGTGGGTACGTCTACCAGTCACGTGCCACTCGCTCCAGCAGTGCCCACAACGACCCGGAAGATATTCCGCGAGACGTTAAAATTACCGCCGTGCGATATTGTATTTCGCGGCATTCGCGCAAACCGCATCTCACAACGGAGGTGCGGGGCAAAACCACGGCCGACAAGGACGAGCGGAACGGAAGCCGGAGCCAGCGCTACCGACGATTGCCCAGGCGCTGGGGTCTGCCAACCAGTAATGGGACGAAAAACTTGCGATGTGACTGATTACAGTCATCACAATTGAGTAATTTTTTGCGGTGTTTCAGTTTCAGTTTCATTTATTTGGTATAGCCCTGTGAGCCATTCGGCTCTTGAATCGGGTGCAACCGCAACAAACAAAAACATGAACATGAAAACATCTTAAAGTGACTGTACAAACAGAAAATCCAGGAAAAGACAGCAAAATATTGCAGAAAAAGCACCGTACACCAACGCTGTGTGCAAAAATCCCAGTGGGATGCAAATCAAACAACAACAACAACCACAAGACAACTTAGATTAAAGCCATCAGACTAACTCCGTACAAACAAACATGGCCAAACCAAAAAGCGTTTTCGAAATCACCAAAATAAAGCCATAAAAGCAACGTAACAGTAATCATAGGAACTGTGACAAAGTGGCAAAGTTGGCACGCTATGGCCTACTCTCGCGAAGGACGCCGCCGGATCTTTAACGTCCGCTGCGAGGCACGCGGTGTGTTTTTGGATGACGCAAACCCGCAGTATTAATCGGGGCGGCCGCTGGATTCGAACCTTGAACATTTGCAACAAGCGGCGGACGTGCTACCACTAGGCCATGGCGTGGCCCCTTACAAGCCCTGCCTGTCTATACACCTACCCTATAACAATTCCCGATACTACTACTCCACACTACTAACGTTATACCCCTAACCTATGACCCTACCTTATACTACCCCACACCACTAACCCTATACCCCCACCCTACCTTTTACTACCCCACAGCACTAACCCTATACTCCTACCCCAAAACCCTACCTCTTACTACCCCACACCACTAACCCTATACTCCTACCCTATAACCCTACCTTATACTACCCCACACCACTAACCCTATACCCTTACCCTATAACCTTTCCCTATACTACCCCATACCACTAATCCTTTACCCCTACCCTAATACCCTTCCCTATACTACCCCACACCACTAACCCTATACCCCTACCCTATAACCTTTCCCTATACTACCCCATACCACTAACCCTATACCCCTACCCTAATACCCTTCCCTATACTACCCCACACCACTAACCCCGTACCCCTACCGGAGAACCCTTCCCATATTCCGTTACACAGCTAACCTGAAGCCTGTACCCCGACATCTATCCTTGTCTCTACCCCCAACCTCCACGTGCTTCTCGAATACCCCCCTCCCCCCACTCCCACGGGGTCTCCGTGGGGTCCCCGCGGGGTCCCCGTGAGGCCCGGGGTCTCTCCCCACCTCCTCGAGCCGCGTCTGTGTTGTTTCTATCGCCATTCACGGAGACCCCACTCGGGGGAGGTGAGTCGCGGAGCGAGCGGACGGGAAGCTGCCTCATTCATCCGCGAGTCGATCCACGGCGTCAGATCTACACAGACTCAGAGGTTCATCGACTCACGCAGAGACCCATAAGCCTCACCACATAGAGACCCATAAACTCGCATAAAGACCGTATACTCACATAGAAACCCATAAACTCGCATAAAGACCCAAATACCCACATACAGACTGTAGCCTCACATAGAGACATATAACCTCACATTGAGACCGTATACTCACATAGAGACCCATAGACTCGCATAGAGACCTATAATCTCACATAGAGACCGTATACTCACATAGAGACCGTAGCCTCACATAGAGACCCATAGACTCGCATAAGACCCAAAGACTCACATAGAGACCTATAACCTC